CTACCAAGTCAAAGGTGGGTGACTTAATCCGTGGCCCTCAGGCCTGTTTCTCATTGTTTTGTTCAACCATTCTTCTAGATCATATAGTCCTGGTGCGTCCACTTGCCATACAGTGGCAACTTGCGGTTGCTGTGAAGCTGAACACTGTGACACTGATGTGTCAAATGCGTTAATGGTTACTCATGGCAGACAGTGTTTGGTGGAGCTCCCCGATTAAAATAAGCTTGAAAGCAGGAGTGGCATCCACTTCTGTAATAGCTTGCCTCTGGAAACGCTATGAACCTGGAGAGAGGATGAAAGTCACACAAGTGTTGAGGACTTTCCTTCATAGGGTGGCTATGAGTCACCTATTACTCGATGGAACTTAACAACAACAACAACAACAACAACTGCTGCTACCTTGGATGCTGATTATGGATCCAAGTAAAATGAAATTGTTCACAAACTCAATCTTTTTTTCATCTATCATGATGATGTCCAGTGGTGAAGATTTTTTGTTTAATTTATGTTGAGATATAATCCATATTGAAAGCTGTAGCCTTTGATTTTCTGAAGCAAGTGTTTCAAGTTTTCTTTTTCTGCACAATGCAGGTTTTTGATTAGTATTATTCCAATCCTGACACAACATTCTTTTTCATATTGCCCAGCTTCTTTAATTTTTTGCTCAGCATACCGATTCAGTAAATCATACATTGTTTCCTTATTTTGGTTCTTAGTCTATAATTTTTTTCATGAGTACAATTAAGTGGTCTGGGATTCCCACTCTTACCAATGTTATCCATAATTTGTTTTGATCCCACAGTCAAATGCTTTGCATTTTAAGTTATTAAACAGTATCATTAACATCACATATAACTAAATTCTTGTTGATTATTCAAAAAGGTTTGGAATAGTACATCAACAGCAAACGTCTAAAGGTTTAAGCAGAATTCAGCAGAGGCAGTTGTACAAAGGATATCACTGCTGATGTTAGATGGATTTTCAATGATAGCTGAGAATAGCAGAAAGATGTTTACTTGCATTTTATTTACTATGGAAAAACATTTGTGTTTTTGATCCTTCCCTTCAAGCTTTTCTCTGCTTTCAGTCAGGATCCACTGGGCATTAGCAATGGTCTCTGGTGCCATGGTCTCTTCTCTATCCATTTTGAATTGCTGGAAGTAGCTTGTCAATGTTCTGTTCAAGATGTTTTTAAATAAACTTTGAGAAGATTTTACTTGATACTGTACAATACTTCCTACATTATTTTTTTGTATCCCCTTCATTTTTTAATGGAAACAAGTATGGATCTCTTTCAGTCAACTGGCCAGGCAGCTCTCTTCCAGGTTTTTTGGTATAGACTCATGAGCATGTCCAGAGCTGCATCCATTTGTTGAAATATATCAACTGGTATTCATTCTATCAATTCCTGGGGCCTTATATTTTGCCAATGCCTTCAGTGAAGCTTGAACTCCTACTTTCATTATTATTGGATCTTGATCATATGTCACTTCCTGAAATGTTCAGTGCCTACAAATTCTTTTTGGTCCAATGATTATGTATTCCTCCCATTTTCTTTCTATTTTTATAATGTCCAAAATAATGTTTCTATTCTTTTAGAGTTTTTTAATTGAAATTTTAATGAAAGATTATAGAAAACCTGGATTTCCATTCATTCATTGTTGTACATTTTCCTCCCTGCCCCATCCCCCCCAGTTCACTTTTCTCTTTGAAAAAAATAAGAATTATTTCATTGTTGTACAATTCCCCATCTCCATTCCAGTCCACTTTACTATATGGCTCTTATGCTAGACCGTTAGCATACAAATAATACCTAATCATATATTCCTTTTAAACAATTCTTTCCTTCATCTGTTTCAAGACAGTGTATGTTATTTATCCCCTCTTTTCTTAGTTTCCCCCCAACCCTGATATTAGTCCTGTTTTACAACAGTGGCGTTATGCAGTATTTGTTTTTTTGGGACTAAGATTTTTCAGTCAGCCTAATGTCCTCCAGGGTCACTCACCCATTTTTTATAATATTTCATGAGTTCCCTTCCATCTTCTGATGCTTCCTGGATCTTTCAGTATTTTGTCCACAGAGTCTTTAAGTATTGCAACTTGAGGCTTTATTTTTTTTTCTTCTCAATTCTTTCCGTTTGAGAAATGCTGAATATGTTCTTCCCTTGTGGTTTTCTATCACCAGTCTTGCATATTTTGTTATAATTCTTTGTCTTGTCTTCTCAAGCTGTTCTGTGAAATCTTCTGCTCAGTTCTCTTACTTCAGCATTTCTTCACTTTGTTTTACCTTCTCTACACTCTAGTGCTATTTTCAGATCCTCTTCTGACATCCACTTCGGTCTTTTAATTTTCTCCTGTCTTTGTAATAATCTTTTGCTTTCTTCCTGGATGGTGTCCTTGTATCATCCCACAACTTCTATAATTAGTATTTAATGTATCAAAACTATCCTTATGATGGCTTTTAAATTCAGTCTCTTTCAATAACATAACAAACAAACATAACATAACGTAACGTAACGTAACGTAACGTAACGTAACATAACATAACATAACAAACATAACAACATAACATCAGACTTTCTGACCTTGTATCAAAGATAATCTTTTTTCAGGGTCAATGAATGGGAAGAATAAACTATAAGCTAGGTTTGCTCTAAATCACAGACTTTGACAGTTTCCCCATTTAGTTTCTTCGTTATGTGATGTGATGAATAAAGCTACCTTTCTTTCCTACCTAGCAAAGCATCTTCCTGAGACAGTTCAGATCAAGGTAGCCAGGCAGATGTTATTACAAGGTCCAGAAACAGCTCCTACCTAAGTAGCCTAGAAATCAGCTAATACAAGCAACCTCAAGTGTTCCCTTAGTTAATGACCTTTTACTCTCCTAATAATTCCTGTTAACAATTTCTGAAATAGCTTTCAGAAGTGCCATGTGTATGAAGCAGTAAGAAGAATAAACACAACCCATGATCCATGTAAATACCTTGAAAAATGAAATTTGTAGGACATGTTTCATGAAAACTATACAGATAGATGCCATCTTGAAAGAGGGACAATTACAGTGCCTGTCCTGTGATGACTAAGCACCTAACCAGAAAGATGTCATGCTGAAGTCAGCTGCACAAGGCTTATGATTTGCATGATATCTCCTTTTTCTAAGATAATCCTACCCTCCTCTTTTTTTTTTCTACCCTCCTCTTTTAAAAGTGCTGAGAAAATATGAGCTCTTCTCTACGGCATTAATATAACCTACAAATATTCCTTTAAACCTTCCCTTTTTAAATACAGAATTGAAAGGTCATACTGCCCATCTTCTATATGCCATTATCTATAATAAATATGCTTTTCCCATTCCAACCCTTGTCTCTAAGATTGATTTTTCTAGCAAAACTGTGGTTTCCGGTAACAAAACCACCAGAACAATATTTAGCTACCAGTAGGACTTGTGATTTTCACTATGCTTGGGTTCCACAGAGGAAGGCACACATTTTGATAGACAGTTATCATTTTGGAAGCAAAATGCTACCAAAATAAACCTTTTCTGTAAAGGCTTACCTACTGCTGCCAAGCTGATTCTCACTCATAGTGAGAAACATAGGGTTTCTGGAACTGTACATCCTTATAAGAGGAGACTGAACATGTTTCTTTTGTAGAGCTGTTAGTGGATTTGAACTGCGAACCTTTATTTAGTAGCCAAACATGTAATGCATCACACCACCAACCACCAAATTATGCAAAGGGTCAAAAAAAGTGAACTCTTGTCACCAAGTAAGAAGTGACTCAAAATTGACCCTCCATTGGGTTTCTGCAGCTGTAAAGTGCAGGATGATGGCTCACCTTTTGCCTGAGGGGCTGAAGGTGGATTCTAACCACTAGAAAAGTGCAGGCTAGACTACCAGAGCTCTCTTGTAAATGATCAGACAGAAAATACGTTAGTCTTTGTTGCAATTATTGAATTATAGCTTAAAAGGAGCTGGGGAGGTGGGGGATGGGTGGGTGGAAAGTAGCCATAGAGAGTCTATCTGTGTGTCTATAAAATTTTACTTACCAAAAAAAGGAGAGGGACATATTTAGCCTTTGGCTGTAGATTGCTGACCTTTACTCTAATCGGTACACTGATGCTGCTGTAAGAGTTACTGAGAAATTATTACAAGTTGTTTTGGAAATAGAGTCTATGATATTGGAAGCCAGAGAAGGGTTATCGTAATTGGGAAGGTATAAGAAGGAGACTCTAAATTATTCTGGTTCCTGAAGTTCTTATTACACAGCGTACCCACTTTGAGAAAATTCACTAAACTTTGTGAGACTGCATTTATGATTTGTGTCAATTTCTACTTGTATGTTTCAATAAACTCCTTTCACAACAGAAGAAGGGCAAAAACCCAGCCTGTTCTAAAGGAGACATCATTTTAAGAAAAATAAAGGTAAAAAATATATCCAGAAAGTGTATAAATTTGGAAAAGCTTGTGGTCCTCTGATGAGAAGGACACAGTTCAATTTTTAAAAAACTACTTTTGAAGACTGATGAAGCTATACCTAAATTAAACTCTAAATATCAAAGATTTCTAAGAAGAATAACTTAATACCTTACTGCAACTTTAAGTTTATTCTGAAAGTATGATAACATTTTCTGTTTGTTGGAAAATATCACAGCAAGTGAAATGGATAAGAAAGGATACTAGATATTATAGCAAGGAGAATGTAAAAGTTCCCGTTTTTTTTAAACAGTGTTCAGAATGTCCTTGTGTTTCCCAGAAAAAAAAAAAAACAGTAATATGACTAAAAAAAGGCTAATTTCAGGTGAATATACTATTGATTTAATTAACTTTTGTCTCCCTACCCTGGAAGAACAAGGAATTGTCCCCATTAGAACAAGTGAGTTGGCCTAAGAAGCAGCTAAGAACTCTTAGGCACAATTAGGAACAGACTAAGGTATGAAAGGATTCTGTGGATGGTCAACAGAAAAGCCTCCTCTAGGAGTTACAATGTGTAGACTGTACCTTGCTCTCTCTCAAGAACTTGCACAGCTGAGTTTTCTTCTACTTTTTTCCTAGCTGCTGCTTCTTCTTCTTCTGACCACTGCATATGATCCCTAACAAAAAATGTAGAAAAAAAAAAAGTACAACATTAATAATGGGATAAGGCAGAAAAATGGCAAGAAGGGGAGTGTCTTTCACTCTGGATGAGTCAGACAAGTGGCCCCAAGTCACTCCACGTTAAATGAACTTATTTTGTGTCAGATGTTCCTTCTGATAGTGCTGGTACAACCCTGGAACTGCTACTGTTCTGTTTCAGTCTGTTCACACTGTCAGCCGCAGCCACCGTTTGGAAATGGTTACTGATGAGTTGTCTCCAGAACACACTTGGTCCTGATTATTTGGGCGGTTTGTTGTTGTTTTCTACTCTAAGGATCAATTTATTCACCTTTTTTAAAAAAGATATGAATAGGTCATTTGGGGTGGCTGAACCCTTGAAAATTGTCTTTTTTTGTCATTCATTGTGTTTACCCTCGTTGGGAGCATGATCTCCAGTTATCTTAACTGCAGAACATGGTCTTGCAAATCATCAACACCTGTTGTGCCAATACAAGAGAGTGCTTTTCACACTGTTAAAAGCAGGAGAGACTGGTGGCAAGGTCTAACCAAAGGAATCATGGAGATAAAGGCCACAGGGTTTTTTGGCTTGCTGAATGATTGAAAGAAATGTTGACTTACAACTTCTTCGAGATAAAGTTTGCTGAATGACTGAGGAAACCAAAGGCTTCTTGCATTTGTGTTGTTGAAATGAAGCTGGACTTTGACTAATTGAGGAATTCTGCCTTGTTAATATGGCTTGGAAGTGCTGGACTAAACCTGGACTTGCATTATGTGATATTCTTTGCCTCCCCCACTCTCTAACCTATTTTCCGAACAAGCCCTGCCAATTGTGAGTAGAATCTGTAAGTCAAGTTACAACAAACACTGGACCCAAAGATTGGCAGAAACAGGTGCAGGAGCATTTAGAGTGGCATGTCTGACCATGTTGTCATTTTCATCATACTATGGTTATTACTGATAGGGAAAGTTCCCCTCTATGGGTAGATGTCAGACTTGGCCTCCTTCACATTGTAGCTGCTCCTTTTACAACATTCTTTTAACTGTGTGTGTGTATTGAAGTGCTCCTCCACAATACCTGTATTCTAAAACTCTGCTGTCAAAGGAATAGGGATTTTTAAAACATTTTGTACATCTCAATATTTATCTTGTTTTCTCCTTCAGTGACATTGGATTTGTTTTACTTAATGTTGTTGTTGACTGCCTTCAAGTCAAGCACAACTCATAATGACCCTATAAACAAAAGGCTTGAAGGCCCTCTACAACTATCACATTTATCAAAATTCAGTTTCCAGAGGCATGTTATTTAGGAAGTGGATGCCACTCCTGCTGACGATTACTTATTAATAATCTTAATAATTATAAAAAGGTGATCCTTTTTTACACCATCTCAAGTAGTCTATCAATTCAGTGTCAATTATTTATAATAATTACTTATTAATAACCTTAAACATTATAAATGGATTCATTGACACGGAATTAATAGACTACTTATGATAATGTAAAAAAGAATCACTTTTTTTAGATCTAACACTTCCTATAAGTATGCTTTTCTAAATTGAGCTTCACTTTGTTGTACTTCTTAGATACTGTTCTTTTTTACAATTTTTAAATTACTTTAGTGAAAGTTTACAGAGATTGATTTTCATTCATTCATAAACATTTTCCTCCCTCCCTCGCCCTAAATTCACTTTGTAAAGCTTGTCCTTTCCCAGATTGCAATCATATATCCCTTTCAGATTGTCCCTCCATTAACTTATTCCAGCCCAGTGTTCATTATCTATTATGTTCTTATGCTAACCACCCACTTGCTGTATCTATATTCTTTATATAAACTGGTCTTTATATTTATCCTTTTGTTTCTAAGATATTTCAGTCAGCTTATGTCTTTCAGTCTCTTGCCTCTTGAGGAGGGACACATATGGCATGCTCGGGGGGGGTTCTATGGGGCTTTCTCTTAGTCCCAAGTGGGTGTCAGCAGAGGACTTACCAGATGAATTTGGGGTCTCTGACCCAGAGTCTGCCAGCATTTGGGCGTGCTGAAATTTTAAAATACTGCTGTATAGACCTGGTCTGTCCATGTGCTGTACAGAGGTAACTCGTGGTTGCTGTGAAGCTGAACACTGTGACAATGATGTGTCAAATAAGATAATGGTTACCCATGGTGGACAGTGTTTGATGGAGCTTCCCGATTAAAACAAATTTGGAAGCAGGAATGGCATCCACTTCCAAAATAGCTTGCCTCCGGAAACCCTATGATCCTGGAGAAAGGATGAAAGTTATACAAGTGTTCAGGTCTTTTGTTCACAGGGTCGCTATGAGTCACCTACAACTTGATGGTACTTAACAACAATAAGAACATGTCTTTCAGACTCATCCATGTTGTGTACTGTTTTATAAGTTCACTGTTTTTCTATGTTGCATTATATTCCATTGTGTGGATGTACCATGGTTTTTCTACCCATTTGTTTGCTGATGGGCACTAGGTCTGCTTCCATCTCTTTACTACTATGAATAATTCTGCAATAAACACGGGTGTGCACACATCTTATATTTGTATTTGTGTCACAGTTCTGAATTCTTTTGTGTATATTCCCAGTAGTGGGATAGCTGGGTCAAATGGTATTTCTCTAAGAGAGATGCAAATCAGAACAACTATGAGATATCATCTCAGCCAGTAAGAGTAACAAAATTTAACAGGACAGCAAACATCAAATGCTGGCAAGGTTGTGGAGAAACTGGAACTCTTATTCACCATTGGCGGAAGTGTAAAATATTGCAACCACTATGAAAGACAGTATGGTGCTTTCTCAAAAAGTTGCAAATAGAAATACCATTTGACTCAGCAACTGCATTACTGGGAATATATTCTAACGAAACCATAACTGCCACCCAATCAGATATATGCACAGCCATGTTTATTGCAGCTTTGCTCGCAATAGCAAAGAGTTGGAAACAACTCACATGCCCATCAACAAACGAATGGATAGAGAAGCTCTGGTATAGTCACACAATGTAATATTATGCAGCATTGAAAAACAAGGAACTCATGAAATATACGAAATGGGTGACCCTGGAGGACATTATGCTGAATGAAATATCTCAGTCACAACAGGACAAATATTACATATGGCCACTGTTGTAAAACGAGACTGACATCGGGGTTGAGGGAAGACTGAAAAAGAGGGGATACATAATGTATACTGCATTGAAACAGATGAGGGAGAGAACTGTTTAAAAGGGGATATATGATTAGGTATTATGACAGGAGTCCAGAATGAAGGCTGCATAGTGGAATGGACTTGGAGGTGGGATTGTATAACAAGAAAGAATTTTTCTTTTACTTTTCAAAGAGAAGAACGAATTGGGGGAGGAGTGGGCAGAAAGAAAAGTGCAACAATTAATGAACAGAAAGTCTCTGTAAACTTTCAATAAAATTAATTTTTAAAAGGTAAATATTAATTCATTGTTGTATAATTTCTTCCCTCCCAATCCAACCCTCCCCTAGTCCACTTTGCTATGCACCTCTTATTCCACAAAGTGCTTCTTGAAAGCACTTGGAGAAAGACGGGCAATCTTTTCTGGTTTACTTTCTGCCTCTGAAAATCCTTTAGAGGGTCAGTTATGAAATAGTTCCCATTCAATGCAACATACAACATACATGAAACAAAAAGAATCCACTTTGTCTCATTCTCTTGGGTAGCTGCAAATGAAGGTTGGGAGTTGAGTAATATCAAATTTTAGAGGATCTTCAATGTGCAGCAGGACAGCTGAGTAGAGTGCAAGACACAAAGAAGTATAAGAGGGATGGGAAGAAGGATGACCAAACAGAAGACAGTTGTAGCAGTCTAGAAAGAATGTGTCCCCGAATCCGGGTGATAGCTGTGGGAAAGACAAAGAAAGAGTGGAGGTGGGGGATGGGGAAGAAACATTGAGACACTGAATGTTAGGAAGGAAAAGTGAGGATCAGATATGATTAAAACTTTAAAACTGAGTATCTGAGAAAATGAGGCTAACCATGATAGAATAAGGATCAGGTTTGGGTGGAACGATGATCAGTGTGTTCTATTTTAAGTCATGTTTATGCAATCAGATATGAAAGGGTATACTCCAGTGACCTGGCTATAAATACACTTTTGAAAGGTGAGAAACTGTCTTCTTTTAAGAAAGATCAAAACTGGTATACTGAAGCCCCCAGGAAAAGTAAATGATAATTTCTGAATTAGACTCACAAAAGAATTTAATCAGTATTCCAGACAAAATGTGACCTGCTACAAACAAAAAAAAATTATTAAAGAGCTATGTTACTTAATGAATGACATTATAATAGATTTTTTGGGGGGTTTAGACTTACTTTAATATAGTGAGCAATCATGTACAACTTGTGGTTGGCAATGATAGTTTGTATGCTATATGTGTAAAATATACATAGAATATTATTACATGACAGCTATGACATTAAAGGCAACAAGCCATTAACTAAAAAAATAGTATTGCTAGGGTAGGAACAAGATTCTCATCCACAAATTTTTATAGCAGGCAGGAGAGAAAATTGAGCAATCCATTTCCCTGTGAAGAATCAAGCTGTGAGACAATGAGAGTGTATGTGGCCTTCAACTTTAAAAATTTGTTTTAAAACTGTTAGTTTAAGTTGCTTCTTCCTGAGCATTTAATAGATTTAGTTATTTCTTAAATTGCTCTAACTTCCTTACACTGTTCTTTATGTTGCTTCATTTTCTTAACTGCTAAGTGAGGGGAATATTATACCCTAAGCTCCTACAGAACAGATTTTTCCTCTGTTCAGTTACAGAATCCCCACAGAAATCTATATAACACTCCTACTGTATTTATGGAGACTTCCTCTAGACCTGCTGCTTTATGGAAGTTTTTTATATTAGAAGAGTCTGATTCAGATGCACTAAAATTCAGCAGCCAGCAATAATAATCATTCATGTTTGTGTAAGTAATAAATACAACTACCACAGAATTTAAGCACAGA